GGCGGGGCTCACCCCAAGCCCTGCTGGAGGAAGATGTCCTCACAGGTCGTGCTGTGCCCTCCTGGGCTGCCTCCGATGCTACCAGAAGAGGCAGCTGGAGGGACACAGCCACACAGCCACCCTGGGAGCCAGCTACAAGCAGGGCTGGGGTGCTGACCCCAGGCCTCCTCCAGTGCCACTACCTGCTATTCCCAGCAGCACAAACTGGGCTCAGGGAGACCAGAACAAGGCTCACCAATGGCAAAGCTCAGCTCTGGAGCAGGATTCAGACTGCTGGCCCAGGGACACGGCACCAAACACCATGCAGAAGCACGACACAGGGCCCCAGTCTTCTGAGACCCCAAACACAGATCCTAACAGACAGACGTGAGTTCAGAGTGGCACCAAGGACCCCACTTCAAGGGAGGGCACCCCAGCTACACTTTTGACCTTGGGGCTGGGTGGAACCCCCAGGGCCAGAAAGGTCCCCATCCTCCTGATAGAGCTACAAAAAGTCTACTTTGTGCTAGTCCACACAAATGCCGGAGACTGATCTTCACAACTAGCCACCTGCGGGCATGTCCCTTTGTCAAGAGACAACGATACCACGTAGCTGACAGCCTCTCTGCTGGGTGTCTATCATCTGCCCCTGGCACCTGAAGGACAGTCATGATGGGCTCACAGTTGGGCAGGGGCAGCCATGCTGCCAGGCGGGGATGTTGTTTGCCTGGGTAAGCAAGGGTGACGGGAGTGGGCACGCTGACCCATCCCACTTGCACGCTGCGGGCTCCCGGAGGCCCAGATGACCTCCCCACCAACCAGAGGGCAGCCCAAGCCCCTCACGCCACACTGCCCAGCACCGCTGCCATGGCACCAGAGCCCCTCCCAGAGAGTGGCAGGGGACAGACTCACCCTCAGCTACGGAGCACAGCCACGAGCACCACTCAGAGCAGAGGTAGTAGCTTTGCATCTCTGCCACGGAGATTTGGGCCAGCCCTCTGCCTGCCATGGCCTCTGCTCCCTCACCACAGCCCCACCTGGGCACCAGTGGCGGCCACAGCTCGGCCTCTGAGGTCTCTGTGAGATCTGCTACTTTCCACTTTCACTTCACCACTAGCTGGGCCAGGCTAAAGGGCACCACTCTCTAAACACTGCCATTTCTCTCCACCCTGCTTGTTTACACACGGGCAGAAGGATGCTGGGACACCCGCCGCCCCAGGAAGGAACCGTTCAGTGCAACATTCCCAGGGCACAGGGCCCAGGGCAGGGAGGCAGACGAGAGGAGACGGAGCCCGGCCTCCACCACTGGGGTGGGAGAGGGCAGTAGACAGCTGTGGCCCTGGCTGTCCCTGTGGCACACACCACAGCTGCGCCTTCCTCCACCCAGGCTCCTGTCCACCCCGAAGAGAAGCTGCGGCTGCGAGGGAAGGGGTGGGACTTGCACAGTGACCCTGCTACCCTCTGTCCTCTCCAGCACTTCCTTAGGAATCAGAACTTGGGTTGCAGAAAACACCTCCACTCAGCGCCCAGAAGACCTGGGCGGGAGCACACGCCCAGTCTGGACCTCAGCATGCACCATCCATGGCATGACTTCAGTGGACAGTGGCTCAGGTGAGCACTGCCCTGCCCAGCAATGTGGGCAGGGACAGATCCCTGACCCAGACCAGCACGGCAAGAGGTCCCTGCTATTCTTGGTGCTAACCTGGTGGCTGCAGCCTCCCTACCAGGGTGGTGGGGTGTGTGCTGCCACCCAGTGTTCTTTAGGGACAGAAACACGCGGGCATGCCACAGAGATGGCACCATGGGAACCCCAGAAGGGCCCCGCAGACCCCCACTGAGCCCCACCAGAGACTCCACAGATTCTTCACAAGCGGACAGACCCCACAAAGACCACATGGAGAGATCCAGAGACCATGCAGGAACTCACAAGGCCCAGGACCCTCAGAGACCCGAGGACTCCTGCAAGCACCCAATATGGGTCCTCGGCCTGGGCCCGGTGGTTCCCAGGAGGCCCTGGGGAGATGGGTGGGGAAGAATCCGGAAGCCAATTTCATCCCAGGTGCCTGAGATTAAAATTTAACAGCAATCACCAGATTTCTTCAGACCACAAACCCTCTTCTCAAACAAACTCAAAGGCGCCCCCATGAGACGGCCCGGCCAGTGTCCTGTGGTAATCCAACCGGCTTGCCCGGCAGCTGTAGGCTCTGGGAGTCATGCTTAAGAAGCCCACAGAGGAGCGAGGTGAGCGTGGGCCTCCTTCCGCCTCACGTGTCTGGACAAGTGGACTCAGCTCTGCCGGAGGATGCCCACGGCAGGACTCACAACCCACGGCCAGGGCCAGAGCTGCTCTTTCCCACATACCTGCACCCATCTCGCTGCCTGCAGGACAACCGAGGGCTTCCCAGGAACCCTCACTGCTCTCCCTGGCCCTGCATGGACACAGCAACCCTGGTCTGAGCAGGGTATGTGGCCCCTTCCCCTGGTCACTGTGGAAGGCTGACCCTGAGGCTGTGGCTCTGGTCGGGGAGCTGGCCACCATCGGGGACACGCTCAGTCCCAGAACTGCTGGCCCTGGGTGACCTGGGCCTGCCTGGACAGTCCCATGAAAATAGTGCTAGGTCTTCAGCATTCTTAAGTGGCACAAGAAGTGTCCATTTAAGGAGCACTGATTTGTCCAGGAGAAATTAAAAATCCCCAGCGTGTCCTCCACTGAGTTCTACGTGACCATCAGAGAGGCTGGTTTCTCCAAGAGCTCACTCCGGAAGCGTGGCTCTTCATGGCATGTGACTTCGCACTACACATGACCTCACACGCGAGCATCTTCCGAGCCTCTACTTGCAAGGGAAGTCTTGCAGCTGATCAAACCCAAACGCGTGCTCTCCGAGCACAACCTAAGGAGGCAGCCAGACCAGCCAGAGCCAGACCCACGCAGGGGGCTCGTGTACAGGGGTGCAGCCAGCAGCAGGTGGGCGTGGAGGGAGAGTGCCAGGTGTAGCAGAGAGGAGGCCAGGCTTGGCAGGGCCACAAGGCAGCCTGGACACCCACCTGCCCATCGTCCTGTGTATCTGGTCACTCCAGTGGTAGATGTCTGGAGCTCTCAAGCACAGCCTGTGGTCACCTGGTCTGTCCCCGCGGCCACACCCCTGCCCATAGGCTTGTGTCCTGGCAGATGATCCAGCGTGCCCAAGCCGGCCACCTGCCCAAGGTCAGGCTCTGTGATACCACAGTTCAAGCGACCTCCAGGCACAGCTGCTGCACATGGACTGCCAGGGTGACATCAGAGGACAATGAAGCCTTTCCTGAGCTAGGACCCAGGCCCTGTGCCCATGAGGCACCTCTGCACGTGGAATCCACTGTGACAGCCCCTAGGTGTTGAGCTGCTGAGATAGAACCCAGGGTCCCAGCCCCATAGGAGGCTTCTTTGGTTGTGGCCCAGGACTCCATCTGCTCTATAGTTCTGCTGCTCTGTGGCCTGGTGGTGGAGCCAGCCAGTGGGATCACATGCGGAGTCCTCTCCCCAGCTTCCAGCAGCCCAAGCCGCACCTCCAGCACAGGCCCCTGTGCATGGGGACTCCTGTATGGTGACATACCCTGGCCTGTCCCGTAGTGTCTCTATCTTCCTGTCCTTTGTCACAGCTCTGACCATGTCAACTGCAGCTCAGCTGTGACTTCTACTCTCTCATGTAGACATTACTGCTGAGCCCCAGGATGCCTCCTCTACAGCTGGGTGGTGCCTGTGTCCTGTTGCTGTCTCCTGCATTCACCTGGGGAGACGACTCAGCACCTGCCGTCTGTCCAGAGACCTGGCACCTGCACCCGAGCGGCCACCCGCTTGCTCAGCCTCTGCGTCGGGCTGCCTGCGCACCCATATCACACAAAGGCAGGCCAGCGGCACACCAGTGTGGCAGGTCACACCTGCCTGGCAGGGTCACGCGTGCCTCGCCATCCAGCCTTGCGGGGCCCCAGGCCCCTGTCTGCTGTCACGGCACAGCTCACACGCCCCTTGTCCCATCCCCGGGGAGATCCTCCCAGGGCACCCACCCATGCCAGCCCCTCTATCCCTGCTGGACATGACTGCCCCAGCTGTTGTGCCTCTGTGCGTGCCTTCTGACACCCTCCTTCCCATCTGTATTTTCAGGCTGTGAGAAGCGGCCTTGCGGGGCCAGCTTCCACTGCCCCATATCTCAGAAGCTGACAGGGATGCTGGCTGTCCCTGCCTTCTCCCCATCGCAGGCTTTCTGGTCACAGTGCCCTGGGGCTATCTTCACAAGTGACCACCTCTGGCACCAGCCACGCACAGGACGCTGCCCAGCCACATCAGAATACCTGCAAGCATTCTCGGGACATTTGCTGGCTCTGCCCAGCTCTACCTGGGCCTTCTCATGGCTCCGGCAGGTCTCCCTGACCCTGCTGGGTCCTGGGCCTGAGTCTGGGTAGGCCGAGGGAACTAAAAGATCTAGGACCTAGGGACCCTGGAGACCGACCCGGGGGCACTGCTGCCAGCTCAGGGCTGGGGACACTCAGCTCTTCTCCTCAGTTCCACGTCCAGCTACCATGGAGGGGAGCTCTCACTGTGGGCCCCACACTCCAAGTCCACTGTGCTACTCACCATCCAAGGGGCAGGCCCTAACTGTGCAGTGGAGCACTTGGGGGCCCCTTCAGAGACCCTCCCGCACCTGGCTTCGGAGAGGAAGGACATGATGGTGCCGGCTTTTGGGTGCTGAGATTCAGCTCCCTGGGCAGCACGGGTGGGGGGAGTGGCCAGCACCAGCCAACCAGTGAACAACCTTCTCACCACAGAGAGGAAGAGGAGGAAGAGAAAGGGCGGGAGGGTGTCACTCTGCCAGCTGTGCCCACCCGGGGCTGCCCAGCTGGTCTGTGTTTGTCATCTTTCTGGCCAGCCAAGATGTCTGATGCCTGTCTCAGGTTTCAGGCACCCTGAAGGCTCACGGTCTCACAGATGACAGAAGCATCCCTAGAAGATGGCACCTGGGGACATATGACTCTGTCCCCGAACTCACCTGATTTCTGGCGCCCTGGTGCTCTCCGGCGCCTCCGCCTCCGAGTCAGGCTCCAGAACCGACGTGTGGAACCCCAAAATGCTACCTTCTCCGCCATTGTGTCTGCCACACAGTTGTTGTGAAGCCCACGCGGTGCCAACTGTTCGGGACGGTCACACACAGGGTGACTGAGCTCTTGGCTTCCACAGAGGTTGGATGACTCAGGGCAGGCTCCAGGGCCCCTCAGGAAGCACTGGATGTGACGTCCCTGGTCACCTTGGACTTGGCCGAGGCTTCAGAAAGCAAGAGGGCCCGGGGCCTCCTGAACTGTGCCGGCTGGGACCTCAGGTCTCCGATGCCCTGTGGCCCAGGTCGCAGCCGCAGTGCTGACGAGGACCTGGGCAGTGGGGACGGCTGCACCACCCATCTGCTGGCGAGTCCTGCACACTTCCTTCCTTGCGGGGCGGTGTGGACACAGAGACAATGTCAGGGAGCCACACAGGCTGAAAACACCTTCCAGGCTCAGGAAGTCTCAAGTTCAAACAAACAACCACAAACTGGGAGGAAGGGAGGCACCGGCTGCCGGCACTTCTGAAACACACTGGGAAGTTCTGCCGCCACAGTCTCAGGCTCTGTCCCCTACGGAGCGGCGGGAGGGAGGGAGGGAGGAAACGGCAGGCAGCCTCGCCTGGCAGGCGACACTTTCCAGGGGCGACTGCTCAGCCTGAGCTGTGGGCCCACAGAAGCTTCTGAGAGGAAGGCAGGCACTGCACTGGGCTCCTGGTGATGACCAAGGGGCCACCCTGTGCTGCAGCTGGTGCTATGGCGTGTGCCAGGGACACCCCAGGTTTCAGAGCCTCACACCTCACCCGAAGGGTTCTTTTCAGTGCCTTTCAAACCTCAACAGTACCGAAGCTCTGCGAATTCAAGCTGCTTGCTCCCTGTTAGGACAGCTCCACGCAGCGCCTAGGTGCCTCCCTCTCAGTGCACTGAGGGCGTGATCTCCCAGGAACAGCAGACACGGGCCTCTTCCCGTGGCCCATGCCTGCTGCCTCCCAGAGCACGCTTTGGCTAGATTGTGCTGTTTTGGCTCAGCCAGTTCTGGGAGTGGAGGCTTTTATGTCCCAGTCACACCTGCGCTGCCTGTGGCGGAGCGACTACCCTAAGGTCGCAGACTGCGGCCCAGGGGATCCCACGTGCCACCAGCCCAGCACTCCACTGGGCTCCTGACCCAGCTTGTTGCGTGAGTAGGAGCGGCAGGTACTTCGTAAACAGGAAGAAGGAACAAATGCTGCTTCTTCCAGGCCCAAAGTTATCAACGAGCGCAACCAGGTACCCAAGAACACACAGTGGGACAAGCTGCCTCTGAAGATGGTGGGCAGTGGGAGGCAGGCCGGCCAAGGAGCGAAGGCGCAGTGGACAGGCGAGAGCACTCGGCACGCACAAGGGCGCAGACGCGACTGCAGAGGACTGCTGGGCGGCCGAGTCAGCTGATGGAGGGGCCAGAATTGCTGCCACTGCCGCAGGCACTGCTCAGTCAGCTCCGCCCACTCCACACGTTGATTCCGTTTATCACAATGAGGCACCTTTTCAGTCCTTCTCCCCCACCCTCCTCACCCCTTTCCTCTTCCATCTTCTTTTTGAACCCCATGAGTGCTGAGCTACATCCCTGTCCTTTCATAAACTTTATTTTGAGACAGGGTCCTACCCAGTTGCCAAAGCTGGTCTTGAACTGGCAGTCCTCTTGCCTCTGCCTCCCTGGCAGCTGTAATTACAGGCGTGTGCTACTGCCTGGCGCCCAAAGGCCTGGCCAGGGCTGAACTCTCCGCTGCCAGGCCGGTGCTGATGGCCAGCATGTGGGTTTTCTTTCTCCCAGGACAGTGGGAGGAGAGCCACTCAGTGGTGGTGGGCCTTGTGCCCCCAGGGCCGGGCACAAGTATAGCTCACAGAACTGCACCCCGAAAGCAACAGGGCCAACAGCAGCCCATCTGTCGACCTGCAGACTGGCCTCTGAGGAAGAAGGGGCAGAGCCATTGTGCAACTGGCAAATGGTGCAGAGCAGCTGGAAAGGGACCCTGAGAGTGGAGACCCAGGGAAAGGGGAAGCAGGGGGGAGCAGGGGCGGGGCTAGAGTGACAGGGGCCAGCACAGGGGCGGGCAGCTGAGCCCAGAGGCCAGGGGACATCAGCCGCAGGGCACCATCCAGGAGAGCCCCAGGGGCTGCAGCACCCAGCCTGGCCAGCACAAGGCCTACTTCCTCCAAACCAGCTTGGCGTTTGGCTGCTCCACTCCATGGGGCACGGCTAGCAGATGAACAGCCTGGGCACACTGGCCCAGATCCAGTCTCCTCGCCGACATTCTCAGCCTCTGCTCTGCAGCTCAGGCAGGCAGCGAAGCTGGTGAAGCCTGAGTGCTCGGCTGGAGGCGGGCAAGTGCCCACACTGATGCAGACCCGTGCAGACAGCGCTACTCTATTTGTCCCCTGAACAGTTACACTGCATCACAGGGCGTGAGGAGGGGAAAGGTTCCTGTGCATCTTTGGGACAAGTGGGATTTTTATAAACCCTAAAAGCCCTGTTTTGACTCTTAGCATGCTTGAGCCTCAGATGCAGAGCCTGCAGGTACAGAGCTGAGGCTTCCGGTCTTCAAATGTCCCCTTCATCCAACTGGAACATCTGTTTTGTTGGGTTGTTTGTTTGCTTGCTTGCTTGTTTTTTGGTACCAGGGATCAAACTCAGGACCTTACACTTGCTAGGCAGGCACTTCAGCTGCTGAACTGTCTCCCCAACCCCATGAAACATCTGTTTTTAAAGAGCTCACACATGTTTTTTAGCCAAGTGCTCTAAGTATGGAGAACAGAGACGTCCACAGCACATTCTGCTGGGGAGCAGGCGTGCAGGACGCTGCTTCAGCACTCTAGGCCCCTCCAGGCTGGGCATCCCACTGCTCTGCGAGGCCCTGGGCTGAGGCCTATGTGGCACGCTCCTCAGTCTGCTCCCCACCTGCACGACGGGACCAAGAGGGCATCTGCCCCATGCCCAGCAGGCCGGGATGGGCAGCCACGGCACACCTCCAGCAGGCCACGCTTTCCAACCTCAGCTGAAGAGAGCATCCTCTCTGCGTCTGCTTCAGGACAAGCAGGCCCCGGATGTGTCCGAACCATTGCTCCCCTCGTGCTTGGTGCCCAGCAGGCCGTCCAGCGGGCCGTCCAGTGCTGCCTGCAGGCGGTTCTGCTGCCTGAGAAAGCCCCAGCCCAGAGCACACTGCAGCACCTGCACCAGCTACAGAGAACCAAGTGTGCAAGTTCAGTGCTATCCGTGGTTCCAAGCTCCTGTGCAGCCTCCAGGTGTACTCGCGGCCTTCGTGGATAGGGGACTGTAGGTCTTAGTAAGTACCTTCTCAGTGCTTACTCTCCATGTTCCTGTTACAGGGACTTCGGTTCCCTTCCAATGATTCCTCTACCAATGCTGCTCCGCTGGTCTCAGTGTTCATTCCCTCAGACACAGCAGTCACAGATGGTGCAAATGCCTCTCCTCCTTCCCCTACCTGCTGCACAGTTCCCCACAGCCACAGGGAGAGGGGCTGATTCAGAGCCACATAGCCAGGGCACCACTGCCACTGCTGGTCAGCAGTGGTGCAAGTGGATGTTTACAGTGCATGGAGGGACAGACAGACAGAAGGACAGACAGACCACACAGGAAGGACCAGCTGATCCAGGAGCGCAGGGCCTGGGTTGCCACCCAGCCAGCCAGCACCCAGCCCTCCACATGCCAGTGTGTCACCCCCTGGACTCAGAATTAGTTTCCAATTGTTATTCAGGAAAATCACAATGTCCCCAAGAAGAGATGGGGGTGGGGAACATTTTCTGGGCCTGTGACAGTACTAACTGAAAAAGGTAGCAAAGTGCAGGATGCCCTCACCTTCCAAAGTCATTTCCCAGAGCGCTGCCCCTGGCCAGCCTGCAAGCTCACCACTGGTGTGAGGAGACCAGTAGCCACTCTGTCTGCACCTGGAAGCATCCTGGTGGCGTCAGCCCACAGGAGCAGGATGCTCAGGCCACGCCGCTACTCGGGCTCAGCTGTTGCCAGGAACTCCCCTCTGGACAATACCGAGTTTCCTTGTCGTCTGGGTATGTCTCACACAGCACATCCTGAACCTCAGGGATGTCAGGACCCAGAGGCCTGGGCTCTGATCTTGGCTTTTTTTTTTTTTTTTTTTTTTTTGGTGGAACCGGGGATTGAACTCAGGCCCTTGCACTTGCCAGGCAAGCGCTTATTCTACTGAGCCATCTCCCCGGCCCCTGGTCCTGACTTTTTCATTGACTGAGTTCACAGATGTGAGCAGAGGCTGCCTCTGCAGTCTCTCAGGATAGAGTGCTTCCCCCTCTGAATCCGGCATAGCCTGGGGCAGCACGCTGCTGTCAACCTGCCAAGATGTGAGTTCCTCTCTACCCTGGAGCAGATTCTAGGGTCACACCACCCAGTCAGGGGAGCTGGGGCAGCACTCACTGGGGCTCCGGGAGGTGCGCAGCTTGGCCCAAGCCTGGCAGTGATGGACACAGGACCACGGGAGGTCAGGACCCAGAGCTAATGGGGAGGGCTGCACCTGGGCCTCCTCAGGACTACAGGACCTGGACAGCTGCCCAGGCATGGGCATCAGGTACAGAGCCACAGAGAGCCGTGAACCTCACTGTAGGGGAAGCAAGAGGCCACCAGGCCCCACCATGGGGACGGAGGAGCAGTTCTGGTGCCTGCAGGCACAGAGAGTGTTGCACAAAGGAAGAGGACAAGTTCTACGTGAGAAGCCCAGGATGAAGGTGGCCTTGGAGCAGCTACTAACATCCAGGGCTGGAGCCTACCTGTCCTAGGTGTGGGCTGGGGACAGAGGGGCAGAGTGGGAGAAGGGACTCCACTAGGACTGACTATTGACAGCCACAGGACGGAGCTATTTTCCCAGGAAAAGTAGGGATAGTGGAAATCCCACTGAGGAGACCCAAGTCTCCCTCCATACATGCAGACAAGAACAGTGTGCATACTGTCCCTCGTGCCCACTGTGTCGGGCAATTTCACACTGCCCTCCCTTCTGTCCAGCAACATCTGTCTTGGCTACGAAGACACTATGCAGATCAGGCCTGGAACAGAAGGAACGTCTGTTTGCCACTTCAGCCTTCTCCGTAGGTTGGTGACAGACCTAGCCAGACAATTTCCATTCCTCTTATTTTTTTTTAATTTTTTATTTATATTTATGTGTGTGTGTGTGTGTGTGTGTGTGTGTGTGTGGCCAGCTCAGCCCACCAGGGGGCGGGGCTGGCTGGCATGTGGTGCTGGGGGATTGAACCGTGGTCCCTGTGCTTTGCTAAACTTGTTCTTAGTAGGTGCTTTAGACCACTGAGCCATCGCACCAGCCCCCTCTTATTTTTAATATGGCTCCGATGGCCATGGGGATGTGATGCTAAGAAGC